GTTGGTGGGAGATCGAGATTAGTGGAGTGCGTCGGCAATATAAATTTTGCAAAATACGTCGAAATATACGTCTTGCCACTTTATTCCTCGGGTTTCGTGGACAAGAACACAACGTTGTTCCAGGAAGACGGAGCACCGTGTCACACTGCTAAAAACACCCAAAAGTGGCAGGAAGAAAATGGTATCCAGAAGTTGCCCTGCCCGAGCCAATCTTCTGACATGAACCCCATCGAAAACCTCTGGGCCATACTCGACCGGCAAGTCAAGAAACAACCAAAAAAACCAACTTCGAAGAGCGATCTACTCCAAGTTTTGAAGCAAGGGTGGGCAAAAATCCCACAATCTAAAATTGACGAGATGATTCTCACAATGCCCCAAAGGATCAACGAACTGCACAAAGCGAAAGGAAGATCTACTAGATATTATTTAAATTATAAATATATCAATTCATGTGAATATGACTGAAAATTTTCATTTTTTCTGAAAAGGTGGTGTCTATTTACTTGTGACCACGATGTGTACATAAAAATTACAAATCATGAAAATATAAAACAGATAGCAATTATAATTTAAATAAAAGATGGAAACTAGAAATCTGCCAGAAAGAAATGCATTGATTTAAACCAGATGGTTGTTGGGTCTCCAGATTGTATGCTATGTGGTTTTAACTCCATTTGTCTTTTTCAATCAATGAGACACTTTATCAATTGAAAATTTTAGACTTATGACAATTTTATTGACAGAGAATTGAAGGAATCTCTTTTGATTCAATTCAGATGCCCTTCCATTAACAGGTACAATACCTGGCCCATATAATACATTTAATTTTTTTTTCTATTATTTATTTATTTTTTAACTTTTACCATTACTAACTCATTTAACAATACTTTTGGCATGCTTCATGTGTACTGTTCCCTTATATTGTTGTAGTTCTGTTTTCTTTTTATAACCTCTTTAGACTGATATTCAATATTTCTGTAGATACAACCTAATGCTTGGATAGTTTAAGAGACTGATCAACCAGAAAACCAACATCCCTTCTTTTCATAACACTGTTAAGGTTATTCCCATCTAAATTATACTTATAATTTAAATTATGATAGCCTACATGCATTATCTTGCATTTATTATAACTAAAACCCATCTGCCATTTATTCGCTCAACTCACTAAATGTTTGTAAAGCAGCAGCATCCTTCTTGCAGCCAGCAACACCCAAAGTCTTAATATCATCAATAAATTTAAGTAATTTATTGACTATTCCTTCATGTATGTAAATAATGTAAATTAGAAAGAGTAAAGGTCCTAAGACTGAGCCCTGAGGTACACCACTTGTGACATTAATCCAATTTGACTGAACTCCATTTATAACAGCCCCCTGCTTTCTTCCATCCAGCCACTTTTCTATCTAATTAGCCAACTTATCCCACGCACCAAAGTTACTCAACATCCTAAATCATTTTGGCGCACATTAAGCTACCATAATGCAGAAGCACTAGAGACAAATTTAGCAACATCAGTGACAAACAGAAATTGCTACACTTTTGACAAGTTGCATTGTCAACCAGGGTTATGAACAATAATCGTGGGATAACTATGATGAAACCATGAAATACTCTCAGGATTGGGCACACTCCATGACATATCCAAAATCTGTGTCCATAATGTTCTCAAACCTGAATCTTCATCCATTTCCCCCACATACCACTTTGTCACTTGAAGTCATATTTCCTATGGAATCACACATCCACAGATAGAAACCAAAGATACATAGAACCATACAGAAAAAAATACCAAAAATTAACCAATTTGACTTTCCCATCAAGACACTGCCTACTTCATAAAATGCCAATGCTGTAGATGATTTCCACTGGTGTGTTTGATGCAAAGTCAATGTGGGTTGGATGGAATAACTGTGGAACTGAAGACCTTCTACTACAGCAGGCATAATCTGGACATACTACAGAAACAATGAGGATCTCATAAAATCTTGCCAAAGAGTGAGGCAAGAAGTACAAAACCATAAATTATGACCCTGCAACTGCTTAGCCAGCAATGCAGATCCAAAATGAAGAATCACCCAAGTACGATAATATGTTCTTATTTTATGAAGCATTTCATATTCAGTTAGCATAATTAGAATTTCTCAATCATTCTAGCAGAATTGAATAGACCACTAGATAAACATTGATGTACTTGCTGAAGGGACTTTAGGTGGAAAGCACTTTATAAATTATAAATGATTAGATCCATTGCTTGCCCTCACTTTCCATATGTTACACTTCTGCAACTTTCTGAAGGAGCATGGAGATGTCATAGAATCTGTCTGGTCAGATCTTGTAACAATGCAAAATGAATTATGTCCAAGAACTTTAAAGAAAAGCAAAGAACAAATGGAATGATCCAGCTTCCTTGTACTGTATCCAGAATTCAAAGATGATATCAGATGTGGCAAACATGGCAGGACAGCACAGTACTGAGTAACATATATAGATCCCATTGGACTCTACCTTCAATTCAGTGAGTTGTGTCAAACTAATGATGTCAACCTATTCATATATATAGGTTAGAGAGAATTTGTGTCTATTATGCTAAGTCAATGGCATGCTTCCACCTTAACTTGCTTAAGCCATACCACATAATGCTACACATAGAAACCCGTAAATGCAAAGCAGCAAATTAAGACACAACTTAAAAATACTACATATAAATATTCAAGGTACATTTAACGCCAAGAAACTTGAGCTTCATGATCTCAACAGCAATTCCAATGCAGATATATAATCATAATTTCTGAAACATTAGCCAAAAAAGAAACAAGTGGCACTATCCTGGGGTTTAAATCTTACTCAATCCCAGTTGAAACAAATAACACTAGAGGTATAGCAGTCCTTTTTAAGATAATTTAGCAAACATTATATCAATAGAAGAGAGTCCATCTCAACAACAAATGAAAGCATATTTTGTAATATCAATTTAGATAATGCCAATGTCATACCAATAGTGGCCATATATGGCTCCACCTCAAACAACTTGTATAAATAAACACCCTAAACCAATAATTATAGGAGATTTAAATGCCCCCCACACAGATCACTTTAGCAGTTGCATAAATAGTAGAGACTCTTTACTTCACTAACTACTAGAAAATAATAATATGCATGTAATTAACATGAATACACCAACTAGGTACAACTCACAGAATGACACATGTGAAGTTTTAGATTACATTATTATATCAAACTCATTACTTCCAAAATCTAAGTGTTTTAAAGTTTACCCTGAACTTTCTAGCAATCACTTCCCCATTTCATTTATACTTCAGTCAAACTTACCATATCCAATATTAGAATTCCCACCAGCTTATAACAACATAGATGCTAACTGGAAGGAGTTTAACACATTTGTTGACACTTCTTCCACCAATAATCACAAGAATAGAAAACAAAATGCAATTGGATAACAATGCTGATCAACTTACACTACCCATAAACAAAGCTATAGAAAAAGTAATCCCCACAACCTCTAGAAGACACCATAGCAATCACTGGAAACTCACTCTTGAATTACATTCAATTATCTTAGAATGTAAACTTAGGCAATTACTGATAACTACATGGGATACTTCACTAAAACCTAAAATTAATAAAATACATTCACAAATAAAATGAAACATAAAAATACATAAAGAAATTAAGTGGTTCAACTTCAGCAATAGCCTTGATAATGCATAAGATAATCCTAAAACCTTTCAAAATTCAAATCACTAATTTCTGAGAAAACCAATAGCAAAATGTTCCACCACATCAAATACGACAACCTTACAGCTAAAACTGACTTAGAGAAAGCAAATCTTTAAGCAGATTATTTCCAGGAATCCTTTCAGGATCTATATTCCCCTTGCTTTGACTGAAATAACTGCAAAACAGTTGACAAACATGAAAAGAAACATCCAGATTTATATAAACAAAAGTTTGCAGTCAATAATCAAATGTACAAAACTCCTCTCACAAAAACAAAGACCATATATAACACAGGCCTGCAATGTTTTTATTGTCTTGAAAATTTTCCACCAGAAAATCATGTACATTTTTCTTCATCATGTACAGATTTTTCACAAAACACCATATGTACTTTTACATAAAGGAATCATTTTCATTGATATTGGGTCACACTTTGCTATGATTAAAATGTTGACAACCACTTGCTATAGATTTCTCTAGGCTAATTAAGACATAAGAGTCTTATTGATT